GAGCGTCGTGACTGGCACAGGTCCACAACACTCACAGCAGACGGGGAAAAATAACACACACACACACATGCACAAACCAAGATGTCCGTAAAATTAAATAGATCGTGACCTCGTCCCCTAATAGCTTCACTTTTCACATTCCTTGACAGAAATAGATGATGAAGGAGTCTTAGCAGTGGTGAGGTGGAGGAGCAGCAACCATGACACCAGCCGTAGTTATGTGCTGCCGTGTCTTTCCCTACTGCTTTGCTTCCTTCTTACTTCATTATTCTGTTTCCTTGTTATTCTTCCTCCTTCCCTCTCCTTACTTCCCCTGTTTCCTTGTTACTGTTCCTGCGTCCCTCTCTCCCACCTTCCCTGTTTTCCTCTTCCTACTCCCTTGTCTCCCTCCCTCTTTCTCTTCCTCCTTGCCTCTTTTCCTCTCTCTTACTGTCTGTCTTTCCCTCCTTACTTCTCCTTCATCCCTCCCTCCATCCTTCTCTCCTTACTTCCCTCCCTCACACCAGACGTCTCAGAAACCACTATGTTTAATCACAATTTTCTCGGGTACCTGTTAACTTTTTCCTGAGTCTTGGGTTTTGTGGCTGGAGATGTGAGAAGGTAAACTAACTGATCCACGTAAGTTAAGACACCATTATCTTCACCATCACCATCACTAACACCATCATCATCATCACCGCTCCTCCTCACCTTACACCGTTTACAAAGATTACACCCAGGCAGCCCCTTATGTTGACTCGTAGATGGCTCGAGCACCACCTGCCCCCTCCCATGCCCTGAAACCACCTGTCTCCTCCCATCCTCTGAATCGTAAAGGTATGTTTAGAACTGAGGTGGAGGAAAGTCTGGCATAGAGATGATTACTACACAGTTTACACTTACTTTCACTGAGGATGTAAACGGCAAAGGTCGTGTAATCACTCAAGAGGTCCTTAAGGAGGTTGTGTAAATGCCAGGAACTGCAATAATAATAATAATAATAATAATAATAATAATAAACCTCATTACAACATCTATCAGGGAACGAGAGAGGGCGAAGGTAAATATTTTGAGAATGTGGAGGGATACGTGATTATTATTATTATTATTATTATTATTATTATTATTATTATTATTATTATTAAGCTGTTTATTTTGATCTAATACCATATAAGAGTTGTTTTAGTAAGCCATTGATTTCAGTATATAATTACATTCAAGTCTTGGTGTAATTTTGCCTTCATTTTAGACATCATCAATTCTTATTTCAGCCATAGAGTTAAATGCGATCTCCCCTCTACAGTTAAAGGAAAAACTAGACCGATACCTTTTGAGAACCAATGCTGATGTCTTGTGGTACGACTATAATGTGCTATCATCAGTCAGTCATGGCTGGGTGGCGGGGACGGCACCACAGAGTTCTCTGCCTCGAATATTCGCTGGGCACCGAACACCTCCAGCCTTCCTAACCTCAGCATCCATAAATATTTGGTCTTCCTAATCCCTCAACCAACACGGTAACCTAAGAGGCTTGTGGACGATCTGATTTTTAAACCATCAATATATCGGCATAGGCGCTGACCCGTCACATTCCCCGGGCGTGAGTTGTCCCTCTTACCCAGGCAGTGAGCCAAGCATATTAGTGCTAATGTTATAGACAAGTTGGACCTTATGCCAAACCTCCAAGTCTTCGGGTCCTCACAGAGTCGTGGGTTTTATCTTTCTCGTCGCTATAACTATTGACAGGAGAACGCATCTAACTACCAAACTTACGCTACAAGACAAGATGTGTCAACTCAGATCACGTTAAGATTAGACACCCCAGTTTATTTCACCAGAAGATTAACACACCTGAATGCTACCTTGAAGGGGGAAGAGTTAGATTAGATTAATTTAAGTTAGGTTAGGTTAGCGTTAGGGTGTTTGATCATCAGGTGAAATAAGCTGGGTTGTTTAATCTTAACGTGATCTGAGTCGACACATTATCGAAACTATCATAACTAGATTAAGGCTTGAAATCTAACGGTATACAGTACACAATGTACTGTATGTTGGTTGTGGTAAAGCGATGGACTGATCTAGAACACAAAACAGGATCCCGAGGAACTAATAGTCATATAAAACATATTTTTTTTTTATATTATGGCATGTAATTATTTATAAGTTACCCACATATTAAAATTGTACTTAAATTCAGGGAAGTGAGATATAGATGGAAGCCTTCACCTATCATGTCCATATATTCGTAAGCTATTGTTGTGGATAATCATAACTACTTTTAGTCGTTATTCTACTCACAGGTGTCTGGAGTTGTTTATTGCGGTAACTTGGGCGATAACATCACTAAGTCTTTATGGAAACGCTATATCACCATAATTCTGTACTGTTCCACTTTATGCTGTCACGTTTACTAAATCAACGTTTAAGCAACACGTACTGTACTGTAAGTCTTCAAAAGTATTTATATCTTCATGAGTATTATTATACTTTCTTCCGTTTACTTGTATCTAAATCTCAATATATATAATCTCGATGTAACTATGGGGTAAAGATATAATTCCTATTATCAATATTAACACCAAAATTAGGGGTTCAAGGAAGTGCTGCTCTCTGACGTTCGGCGGCCAAACTATTTCTCATGAGAAAACGATTCTATTTCGAGGGCCTAGCGTTAATAAAAGGATACTCGTGTAACGATACGTTTAATGCTCCTTTATCCTCTTATATGAATATTTTTCAACTTTTTCCATATTATGAAAAAAAATGTTTGTATTATATACAGTATATGTTGATGTGATTATGAAGTTAAGTTATAATTATTGTTATTAATAATAATTATTATTATAAGTGCGTCCAGCAAGTCCTGTTATCTGACGGTTGATAGACAAACTATTTTTATGGGAGAAAACGAGTCTAATTTAAGGTAAACTTAAGAAGAAATACGCCGTGGTAGAGACGATTGTTAATTTTTCTATTATCCACCTAATGGCCAAATCCTCTGTCTTTGCATTTACTTCAATTATAAAGATTTTTTTCTATAAATTCTATTACTTCATTAGGATGGAAAATATATATGAGGTTTCTACTAAACAGGGCAACAGAGTTAAACATCGAGGCTGATCTCTGAGACCATCCCCAAAATGACAACCAAAGTAGAAAACCAAACCAAACAACAAGCAGATTACTTAAATGACATAACGACGACCAAACGGAATAACGAATAATATTGTAATGTAAAGGTGAAATAAAAATACAAGTATTCTAGATCAGCCAAAGTGGAATGAAATGACAAAACAACAATTGCGAGCGACAAAGAGTGACACAAAGATAAACAAAGGAGAGACAGAGAGAATCAGAAAAATAAGCGACACAAAAGACAAATAAAGAGATCCAGACAAACAAGGGAGAGATATACACACGGAGAGGTGGTTATAAATCGTAAGCCCTCCGCGTGGGTCTCAGGGGCTCCGGGAAGTAAGTCATATTTTAGAGAGAGAGAGAGAGAGAGAGAGAGAGAGAGAGAGCAGCAACACCAACTTGCTCAATATCTATCTGTCAGCGCCGGGCGGAAATTCTCACCCCCTTCCTCTCTCTCTCTCTCTCTCTCTCTCTCTCTCTCTCTCTCTCTCCCCTTCCTAAAGCCAAGAATGCCCTCTGACGGCGTGTCATAAAATTCCACTACATTTTTCGCGTGGGAGGTTGGCGCCACACAGTGAGGAAATTCTCCCCTTCCTCTCTCTCACTCTGTCACTTCCCAACCCCCAACTCTCCCCTCCTCCTAGCCAAGAGTTCTTTGTGTGGTGACGTGTGGTGACAAAACTACACTCCACGTCCGCTGAGTGAGTGGGCCTTGTGACACACTGCCATCCACCACCGAGGCGTCGAGGTGTTCTCAGAATGTGTAGCTGGTGAAGGGGTGAGGTGAGGGGTAGGCTGTCTTTCTCTCTCCACCAGCCCGCCATGAATCTTAAAGCCTCGTACATTAAAAAAAACTTTCCCTGAATTTGTCGTATTCGTAGAAGTCAGGAGGCAATGATCGTCTGTCATAATATATTCTGGTGATAATTTTATCTCTTTAACTAATTATGTAAGAACGTATCTATGAGGTAAACTTGAGCTACCATATAAATATAGATTCTCACAACTTTTTATATCAATATAATAAGCAAAATGAAGATATAAGAACGCGTTCGACTGGCTCACTCAAACTACGGTACAAATATGGACTCTCAAAGTCTGGAGATGTGAGAAAATATCCAATTGGCTCCATCTCAGCCAAGACACCAAGATGGATTTTTCAAAACTTCATAACTTCCTCTAGTCTGTAACATTTTCAGTTAACGGGAATTATTAAAGTAAATCTGACTTACTGACGTGTGGGGAGACATCTTGTGAGGTTTCATAAGTCAGCCAGTTAAATATCTTCTCACATATCTATGTACTTAAGGGAAATATATCAACAAATGAACGTTTGAGAATCTAACTGAGATGTGATTTACCTTGTGTCTCAACTTAAGGGAAAATTTCACGTGAGAGATTTTACGTCAAACGCTTGCCGCTACCTGACAACTGCTGCCATCTCTCGGCGGCCGGAGCGCATCTCAGCCTCACGAGCTTAACAGTAGAGACGCTCACTCAACGCCTGGTGCCAAGAACTAATTATATATAGGCCTACAGTGAAGTAATGAACCCCTGGAGCTTACCACCACACCTCTTACTCTTACCTCTGAACAAAATCCCGTTCACAAATCCAAATATTCTGTTCAAATATACAGTAATTAAGGCTTATTAAAAAAAAAATATTCATCATGTCACCACTTTGTAGCCAGATGTACACACTAATCAGCTGTGTCTGTACAATAACCAACTGTACGCATTACCCAGCTGTACGCATTACCCAGCTGTACACATTATCCAGCTGTACACATTACCCAACTGTACACATTACCCAGCTGTACACATTACCCAACTGTACACACTAACCATCTGTTTGTATAATAACCACCTGTGTGTCGTTACAGGTGGGATCTTCGACGAACAGGATAAGATTCAGGACCTTGCCTTCAGGTACGCTGTAGAGAGAGTCAACAAGGATCGCTCTACACTACCCAGGTCTAAACTGAAGGCGCATATAGAGTTGTTACCGGGTGATGACTCCTTCCAGGCATCTAAGAGAGGTGGGTCTGTCTGTTCTGTCTGTCTGTTCTGTCTGTCTGTTTCTCTTCTCTGTATGTCTCTCTGTCTGTCTGTTAATCGTTTACTTTACGTCTGTATGTATTTGTATTTGTCTGTCTATCTGTCTCTATTTCTTCGTCTTTTTGTCTCTCTCTCTCTCTAAATCTCTGTTTCCACTCCCTTTCTCTGCCCCCCCCCTCCCCCTCCTCTCTCTCTCTATATCTCTCTATCCTATCTCTCTATCTCACTTCAATCCATCTCTAAATCAAAATAAACTTAACATATCATCCCCCCCCCTCTCTTACCTAACCCTTTGTTGATCTTCTCCATTGACAGTGTGTATGTTGCTAAGACACGGGGTAGCAGCCATCTTCGGCCCACAACGAGAAAAGACCGCTAACCATGTCCAGTCTATATGCGATGCTATGGAGGTTCCGCATATTGAAACACGGTGGGATTATAAACTGGCCCGTGATGAATATTCGCTTAATTTATACCCCTACCCACCGTCTCTCAGTGAGGTAAGTGGGGCTTGGATTTTTCTGTGTTTGTTGGGTGGTGGTGGTGGTAGTAGTATTAGTAGTTGTAAGAGTTATGGTGGTAAAAGTAGTAGTAATAGTAGTACCTTTTACAGTAAACTTATCAGGGTTTAAATGGACGTTGTTTACTTTACTAAATATTTATCTAAGTCAACATTTTTACTGCAGTTTTCATAATTATTCTTAGTTAAAATGTCCATATATGTGTTGACCTCAAACAGTGTACTCAGTATGTAATCATAATGTACCTTTGAACTATATTGACTTTCCTTATAACAGATCAAGTTTATTATCTAATCAATTCGACTAATTACCTGGGTCTTGAAGTCATTAATATGTCACCTGCGTGTTTTGAAGTCATTAAGATATCACCTGTCTGTCTTGAAGTCATTAATAACTCACCTGTTTGACTGTGTTTACAACTAGGCGTATCGAGACATCCTGCTGCAGCTTAAGTGGAGGAGTTTCGTAATCCTGTACGATAGTAACGAGGGGTTGGTACGGCTACAGACACTGCTGAAGGAGAAATCGTGGACCGTGGCAGTGAGGCAGCTACCCAAGGGAGAAGATTATAGGTATGACCCCTAAGTAGTGTTGGTGGTACGGGGTTGCTTCTCTGTGTCCACTTAACGAAACAAGTTATCTGTACCCACTTTACGAAATAGCTTCTCTTTATCCACTTTACAAAATCTCGTCTTAGGATCGATTTAACATCTCTCTCCCTTCCTCTCGTCCTCCTCAAGACCACTACTGAAGGACATACGTCGATCTCAAGAGACCCGCATCGTGCTGGACGTGGCTCAGGATAAGATCTACCAAGTGTTACGTCAGGCAGCGCAGATCGGCCTTATGCGAGAGTACCACAACTACTTCATCACTTCCTTGGTCAGTACAACAACTACCGAGTGCCGTGTGAGAGAGAGAAAGTGAGATAATGAGAGAGAGAGATATAACGAAGGACTTTCACGCGCTCTTTTTCCATTCCTTCATAGGATTTTAATCAGGTGGACCTCGAGGACTTCCGATACGGGGGTACCAACATCACGGGAGTCCAACTGGTGAATCCCGCAACACCTCAGCTGAAGAAGGTGTTGGAGGAGTGGATGTATGGGGAGCTACGTCATGGTCGCTCTCTCCCAGACGACATCAAGAAAGTCACGGTAAGGTGGGCTAAGGGTGGGTTGGGTTAACTTAGGTAGGATAGGGTAAGGTTAGGTTAGACTAGGTTAAGTGACCCGGATATCGGAAAGTTAGCTAAACATGCATTATGCTGTGGGCAGACGGAGGCGGCGCTCATGTACGACGCGGTGACACTCTTCGCCAAGGCTCTGGACGACCTCGACAACTCCCGCGAGGTGAACATCATTCAGCTCCACTGTGAGGGCGACAACACCTGGCAACATGGCACCTCCCTCATCAACTTCATGAAGTGGGTAAGTCTTATGGCAACTTTTATGAAGAACCAAACTAGCTAAAGTTACTCTGGAATTCTGTTACAACTTTTAAGAGATATTCCATTATATTCATGTTACTTTTGAGTCGTAGCACAAATGTAACATTGGGTTTTCGTGTACCAGATATCAACATTAACCATATACGTTCGTCAACAGTACAGCTCAAGACACTACGCTACAGCCAGCGATAACAGACGAGGCAACATCCACGACCCAACACGGAATTTCTCACACTTTGGTCAGGCTCAAGTTCACGGCCTCACAGGGGTCATCAAGTTCGATTCATCCGGGTTCAGGTCTGACTTTCAACTCGAGATCTTGGAAATGGACGTGAAGGAGACGCTAAAGAAGGTAAGAGAGAGAGAGAGAGAGAGGAACCTCGATAGTATCTCATAGGAGTGTCAATGAGCTCGATAGGATTGATTGATTTATTATACGTTCAGTGGTGGTGTTGTTGTTGTGTTAATGCCTTTATGCCTCTATGCCGCTGATGATCTTTGACCCAGTACCTAGACTGACCTTATATGACCTCAGGTGGGGACGTGGACGCTGGCAGGAGGCGCTAACTACACCAGGTCGTGGGCGGAGACGGTGGATGCTGTCGAGTTTAACCTACATAACAGAACCCTTATTGTCTCTACGGCCCTGGTGAGTGTGTAGTGTTGAGTGTGTAGTGTTGAGTGTGTAGTGTTGAGTGTGTAGTGATGTGTGTGTGTGTGTGTGTGTGTGATGTTACCTCAATATCTCTATCTCTCCCCCCCAACCCCTCAGACGCCGCCCTACACCATGCTGAAGGAGACATCACAGCGCCTGGAGGGGAATGACAGGTTTGAGGGCTTCTGCGTCGACCTCATCCACGAGATCTCACTCATCCGTGGCTTCAACTACACCTTCAGGAAAGTGGCTGACGGCTCCTACGGCACCAAGAACAGGGAGACGGGAGAGTGGAACGGCATCGTCAGGGAGCTCCTTGACCACGTAGGTTAACAGGTCGAGTTGGAGGGTAAACATAATGTGACGTCACTACACAAACACAATGATCTGAAATATTTTAACCTAACCTAACCCATCCCAAGCTAACCTAACCTAACCCAAGCTAACCCACCCCAAGCTAACCTAACCTAACCTCTCTCTCCTCCACTTCAGAAAGCTGACTTGGGTATCGTGGACTTCACCATTACTTATGAACGAGAAGAAGCTGTTGACTTCAGTATGCCATTCATGAACCTTGGTGAGTGATAGATAGATAGATAGATGGATGGATAGATAGATAGATAGATACACGACTTCAACACCTGTATATATAGAACAACACAGATAAAACACTCTAGACACCAGCCAATACAGGTGTGATATAAGGTGTAATTAATGACTCATCTCCACAGGTATCAGTATTATCTACAAGAAGCCCCAGAAGAAGTCCCCCAGCCTCTTCTCCTTCATGTCCCCGTTTTCCCTGGACGTCTGGATCTACATGGCAACTGCTTACCTGGGCGTGTCTGTCCTGCTGTTTATCTTGGCCAGGTGAGAGAGTTGATTAGGTCACAGGTAAGCAGGTGGATTCTTAAGTTACCATGTATGGGAAGAGATGCTTAGGATGGGTAAGGATAGGTTATGTTAGGTTGGATTAGGTTAATTTAAGTTATAATGTCAGGTTAGGATAGCTTTGGGTCATACGAACAACCATAAATCAATTACAACTTTGGATAAACTAAAAAAAAATCGTATTTATTTCACCTAAAGTTGACGAAGTAAGTTTATTAAGGTAAATATCGAACTTTCTAAAAAAAAATATTGTAACTAAATTAAATAAAAAGTTTGAGTATTTTATATCATGTATTTTTAGTTTTTTTAACTTATTATTTTTCTCAGCCATTAAGAGCTTCGTGATCACCAGAGAGAGAGAGAGAGAGAGAGAGAGAGAGAGAGAGATTGACCCCTTTTATATAAATCTGAACACATACAACTTCTCGTGTTATTCCTGTACTCTTTTAAGGTGAAGGTGGACATGACTCAGGAGGCCTCAAGTGTGAGTCCAAACTAATTAACCTGGTCATTTTGGGGTTCATTTTCCTTGTATAATAAAGATCGTCGACAATACATCTGTGTTGATGTTAGCCTCGTGACCTGACCTGCTCTCTGACGTGACCCCTTACAGGATGACCTCCCCGGACGAGAGATCTCCGAGGACTTCCTGCTACAGGGATGTATGAAAACCGCTTCACATGTCTTCACTTCAATGTGGTTTATCAGTGAGACGTTCTTGTGGCAGGGAGTCGTCAGTATTGCCAAGCATGGGTTGTAGGATGTCGTTCTCCTTGTTCCTTCCCCCTAGGTGACACGGGGGAGCATCCTAAGGTACTTGAAGGAATCTCTTAAGGTTTGATCTTCGTCGATTAGATGGGGTTCCAGGAGTCTGACACTCCAGTCTTCAGAAGCAAAAGTTCGTCGGGAATGTTGTCATGGCGGGAATCTGTCCGTTCGTCGTTCATACATTCGGATTTATTGTTTAATTTCCATAATATCAAGACTCTCTCTCTCTCTCTCTCTCTCTCGTTATCAAGGGTCGTAGTAGATGTTTCTCTCATAATTATCTATAAAACACACTCTTCAGCAGGGATGCTCCCCTGTGTGCCCCCTTTAGTGCCTCTCCACCCCGAAGGACGCATCTCCGCCTGGCGTTCTTGGGATGAAGTCGGGGAATCTGTTTTTAGGTTCTCTTAAGTTCAGCACGTCACCTCTCTCACGCTTCTTATCCTATCACTCACTTTAATCTTGTTGTGTAATTATTCTTTCATTTCAATAATTCCAACTTTATCAATTAACATTTAATAGATAGATGCTAATATTCTCTTACAGGACGAAATGTAAACAAACTCTTATAAAAACTTCTTTTGTTTGGGACTCCGAGCTGAGGCAAGAACACTCGTCATGTCAACAATACATTTGGGGTTGATGATCTTGTCTGATGTATTATCCTGGTGTGTCGTGTAGGGCTGTGTCTCTCTCCCTGGCAGGATGACCCCGGGGGAATGAACTCTACCAAGGTGTTAACATAGCCCCTAGGTAGGAAACACACACGCAATGAGTGTTTTGTTCTTGATTTCTAAGCTTTTGATTCGTCGTTTCAGAATGTTGTTTGGTTTTCTGTTTCCCCCTTGACGTTTCCTGCAAGACCCAAGACCCAGCATGTTTACAGTCTTGGATTCTATTCCCTTTCCGGGATTGATTTTGGTCTTGAAAATCCATCCCCGACTTTCTTTTGTTTTCCTTCGTCTTCTGCTTCACCAGTTTGTTATTCTTGACGACTTGTGTAGCGTTCGAGTGTGAGTGAATTCTTATTTAATCGTCTGGGAGGTTTATAAAAGGACTTCAGTGGCAGTAAAAAAATTCTCTCTTTCCTTCCTCATTTTCTGGATCATGGTAGCGTGATAAGGTAGAGACACCCACTATAGTGTTCTCTCTTAAGTGACTTCTATAAACATTCTGATCCTCTTAAACTCCATGGCGCCAAACACTATGGTAACCAGATCCTTTATAAATAGAATCGAATCTTTTATTTCAGTAACAACTTTCACGATGCTGTTAATTCTTCTAAAACCTTATTAATTTTGTTTATATGGCTTCTGATTCACTAAGATTCAGACGTTAATTTATCTACAGTGAGGAGATACGTCATGTAGTTATTGTATAAATTTTGTAGAGGTTCAGTTTGGTGTTAATCTTTGTCTCGTAGTTTCTAAGTGAGTGAGAGAGATGTGTTTGTATAGTGAGAGGAGGAGAAGTTTAACGTCGGGATCTTGTGTGAGTCGGGGAAGCCTGGAGATCTATCAACACTCCCTCCACCAACTGCTGTTACTCTTGAGGCTATCCATACGTGGCCAAACACACACACACACACACACACACACGGAGATAAGGTGGACAGCCTCTATCATACCTCACTACGTCCTTATACTGAACTAATCTTACCCTTATATTTTATTTCCAGAAGAACACCTCACCCTGACCCCCCACTGATGTCTGGTCACATTTTACACTCCACTGTGGTTTAATTTTGACGACATTAGACGTTTTTCATGTTTATTTTCTCTTTATTATTATCCCCCTCCCTCCACCTCCCTCCCCCAGTAATACAGCTTTAGAATGTGTCATGGCAGCTCTGAAAGTGTTGTTGTGGTGATGTGAGTCAGTTACACATCTCACACTAACACCATCAAGTTTCTATCTATCCTGTACATATCTGGTTGTCCTGTATGTATGTGTGAACCCCTGACCTATGACAACCAGTGCTTTAGATACCTCCTCCTGCAGCCCCGTCAAATGCACCTTGTACCCACCTGTGTTACCCCTGCCTGCCTTCCTGCCCTCTGCTCATGTGTGTGGGTATGGCTGTGTTCCAGGATCGCGCCCAACGAGTGGGATAACCCTCATCCTTGTATCCAGGACCCGGAGGAGCTCGAGAACACCATCAGTCTAAGCAATGCCTTCTGGTTCACGATCGGTTCCCTTATGCAGCAAGGGTCTGATATCGCCCCCAAGTAAGACTCTTTTTATCTCTCTCTCAGCGCCGTCTATGTCGCGTTGTTTACTCTTTTCCACTAATAGATACCGCTAGAGCCTCGGTTTCACATGTAAAGCGAGTAGTAAGTAGAAAACCGAGTCTTTCTTCCTGAGACTTACAAGTAGATACCATCGTTAGCTGTACTGAACACCTCGTGGCTCTCACTTGTTGTTCTTGCTGACTGACACTGACACCGCGCCTTCGTATGCTATAGCTATACATTATTCTCTCTCTACTACCATTCACACTTTCTCTAGCCTAATTACGTAGATTGGGGGTGTTATGTGTAATGGAAGATCAGTTTCCCGTCTTGGTGATGCTGAACGTGGAGGGAGAGGAGGAGGAGAGGGGCTAGCTGTCTGTAGTAGTGAGGGAGAAACGTCGGTGGATACGCCTCTTAATTAAAAATCACCATAAATAATACCTGCATGGCAACACCCCCTTCAAGGATTGGTTTTCAGTTGTGTGGTTTATACGCTTGTCATTATACACGCTTGTCATTATACACGCTTGTCATTATACACGCTTGTCATTATACACGCATGAGTGTCTGAAGCCTGAAGCAATGTTTACCTTTCTGTCTTGGAAATAACCCTCACTTCTATGTAATTTTTAATGTATAGTATTTATTTAGAGGTTTAAATACTCATAAAAAAACATTAAACATCTGATAATAGGAAATAAACATCAGTGAGTTAAGTTTAGTTTATCTTTATATGTTTATACTATGATAAGGAAGTGTGTGTGTGTGTGTGTGTGTGTGTGTGTGTGTGTTTCTCAAAGGTACATACAAACACTCGCTACCCCAGAGACACACATACTGGCTCTGTGAGGCGAGGAGGGGAAGAGAGAAGGAGAAAGGAAGGAAAGGGAAAAAGAAGGCAGGGAGGAAAGGAAAAGAAGTCATAGAGAGAGAAAGGAATGGAAGGAAGGAAGGAGAGACAGAGGCAAGGAGGAACGAAGGAGGGGAGAAGGAACGAAGAGAGGAATGGAAGAGTGCGGGAGGGAGGGAGGGAGGAGGGAGGAAAGAACAAACGGGAGAGAGAGAGAGAGAGAGAGAGAGAGAGTCATGAGCCACGTGGAGGGTCGCCCCAGGGACACACCGCCGTCCACCTGTGTGTGGTGGTAGTATCAGGTGTGAGGTACTACTAGGTGAGGTACCATAAGTGAGGCCAGGGTGAGGTACTAATAGAGGTACCATATGAAGTACTACTAGGTGAGGTACCAGGGGTGAGGTACTACTAGGTGAGGCACATAAGTGAGGTAATTAGGGGTGAGGTACTACTAGGTGAGGATACAAGTGGAGGTACCAGGGTGAGGTACTACTAGGTGAGGCACCATAAGTGAGGTACTACTAGGGTGAGGCCAGGGGTGAGGTACTACTAGGTGAGGTACCATACAGGTGGGGACCATTAGGTGACACAGGGTGAGGCACCATAAGTGAGGTACCAGGGGTGAGGTACTACTAGGTGAGGTACCATAAGTGAGGTACCACTAGGTGAGGTACCAGGGGTGAGGTACTACTAGGTGAGGTACCATAAGTGAGGTACTAGGGGTGAGGTACTACTAGGTGAGGTACCATAAGTGAGGTACCAGGGGTGAGGCACTACTAGGTGAGGTACCATAAGTGAGGTACTACTAGGTGAGGCACCAGGTGAGGTACTACTAGGTGAGGTACCATACGTGAGGTACTACTAGGTGAGGTACCAGGGTGAGGTACCATAAGTGAGGTACCAGGGTGAGGTACTACTAGGTGAGGTACCAGGTGAGGTACTACTAGGTGATGCCAAGGGTGAGGTACTACTAGGTAAGGTACCAGGGTGAGGTACCATAAGTGAGGTACCAGGGGTGAGGCACTACTAGGTGAGGGTACCAGGATGAGGTACTACTAGGTGAGGTACCATAAGTGAGGTACCAGGGGTGAGGTACTACTAGGTGAGGCACCAGGGTGAGGTACTACTAGGTGTGAGGCACCATGTGAGGTACCAGGGAAGAGGTACTACTAGGTGAGGTACCAGGGGTGAGGTACCAGGGTGAGGTACCATAAGTGAGGTACCAGGGTGAGGTACTACTAGGTGAGGTACCAGGGGTGAGGTACTACTAGGTGAGGTACCAGGGGTGAGGTACTACTAGGTGAGGTACCAGGGGTGAGGTACTAGGGTGAGGCACCAGGGGTGAGGTACCATAAGTGAGGTACCAGGGTGAGGCACCATAAGTGAGGTACCAGGGTGAGGTACTACTAGGTAAGGTACCAGGAGGTACCATAAGTGAGGTACCAGGGGAGGTACTACTAGGTGAGGTACCAGGGGTGAGGCACCATAAGTGAGGTACCAGGGGTGAGGTACTACTAGGTAAGGTACCAGGGTGAGGTACTACTAGGTGAGGCACCAGGGGTGAGGCACTACTAGGTAAGGTACCAGGGTGAGGCACCATAAGTGAGGTACCAGGGGTGAGGCACCACAAGTGAGGTACCAGGGGTGAGGTACACTAGGTGAGGTACAGGGGTGAGGTACCATAAGTGAGGCACCAGGGTGAGGCACCATAAGTGAGGTACCAGGGGTGAGGTACTACTAGGTGAGGTACCAGGGTGAGGTAATTACTAGGTGAGGTACCATAAGTGAGGCACCAGGGGTGAGGTACTACTAGGTGGAGGTACCAGGGGTGAGGTACCATAAGTGAGGCACCAGGGGTGAGGTACCAGGGTGAGGCACCAGGGGTGAGGTACCAGGGGTGAGGTACTACTAGGTGAGGTACCAGGGTGAGGTACTACTAGGTGAGGTACCAGGGTGAGGTACCATAAGTGAGGTACCAGGGGTGAGGTACCATAAGTGAGGTACCAGGGTGAGGTACTACTAGGTGAGGTACCAGGGGTGAGGTACCATAAGTGAGGTACCAGGGGTGAGGTACTACTAGGTGAGGTACCAGGGTGAGGTACCATAAGTGAGGTACCAGGGGTGAGGTACTACTAGGTGAGGTACAGGGGTGAGGTACCATAAGGAGGTACCAGGGGTGAGGTACCATAAGTGAGGTACCAGGGGTGAGGTACTACTAGGTGAGGTACCAGGGGTGAGGTACCATAAGTGAGGTACCAGGGGTGAGGTACTCTAAGTGAGGCAATAGGGTGAGGTACTACTAGGTGAGGTACCAGGGTGAGGCCGCTAAGTGAGGTACCAGGGTGAGGTATTACTAGGTGAGGTACCAGGGTGAGGTACCATAAGTGAGGTACCAGGGTGAGGTACTACTAGGTGAGGTACCAGGGTGAGGTACCATAAGTGAGGTACTCAGGGGTGAGGTACCATAAGTGAGGTACCAGGGGTGATACTACTAGGTGAGGTACCAGGGGGTGAGGTACCATAAGTGAGGTACAGGGGTGAGGTACTACTAGGTGAGGTACCAGGGTGAGGTACCATAAGTGAGGTACCAGGGTGAGGTACTACTAGGTGAGGTACCAGGGTGAGGTACTACTTGGGTGAGGTGAGGTACTCCAGGTTTCTAGGGCTCAGTACCAGCTGGTGCCTGACACACACACGTCTTCAACTCGCCCGGGAGCCAGTACAGGTCAACCACCCCTCACACACACACACACACACACACACACACACACACACACACACACACACATAATTAACGTTAAAATTAATATAACTTAAGCTATTTTCATTTTTTTTTTTGCTGCTTCTTCTTCATCGTTTTCTTATTTCTTCTTGTTTTTTCATATTCTTCTTAGTTTTCTCTTCCTCCTTTTTATTTAAATTCCTGTTCCTTGAAAAATGAAGTTTATCCAATAGAAAAAAATCAGTTCTCTTAATAAAAACCAAATATTCCTTATTTAAAAAAATAAAGTTTTCTTTAATTGACAAAAAAAAATATAAATTTTAAAAAGTTTCCTTAATTTATTTTTTATATATAAATTTTCTATTATTTTATTAATTTTAAAAATATAATTATTATCAATTAATATTAAAATGATGAAAACTTTTGAGGATTATGGTAGAGTTATGAAAAAAATTCCCTGGACATTTTTGACACCACATTAACACCACATTAACACCACATTAACACCACATTAACACCACATTAACACCACATTAACACCACATTAAACATTAACACACATTAACACCACATTAACACCATATTGACACCAACACCAAACATCACATTAACACACTAAACATTGACACCACATTGACACCACATTGACACCACATTAACACCACATTAACACCACATTAACATCACATTAACACCACATTAACACCACATTAACACCACATTAACACACATTAACACCACATTAACATCACATTAACACCACATTAACACCACATTAACACCACATTAACACCACATTAACATCACATTAACACCACATTAACACCATATAATTAAGGGATCATATTGATAAAGATTAATTATTTTCACTGCATTACCTATAACTGTCTACAGGTATAATTGACACACTATAACTCTGAGGTGATAGATACCTGCTGTGACAGGTGTTCAGGGGTGTATGGTGTGATATTTATGTTGTCTTAATTAATTGTTATCTCTTACCTTTCACCATCAACCTCCCCCCCCCACACACACACACACACACACACACACACACACCCCACCCACACGTTCCCCACCCACACACACACACACACACACACATCCCCCACCCACACACTTCCCTCACCCACACACACACACGTTCTCCTCACCTGCACACACGTCCCCCCACCTACACACCTGTCCCCCCCACCTACACTCCTCACCCACACACACACGTCCCACCCATACCTCCTCCATTCAACCCTCACCCCCTCTGTGTCCGTGATCACACCAGGGCTGTGTCAACACGCATCGTGGCCGGGATCTGGTGGTTCTTCACGCTTATTATGATTTCCTCCTACACCGCTAACCTGGCCGCCTTCCTGACTGTCGAGAGGATGGATTCCCCCATTGAGGGCGCTGAGGACCTAGCCAAGCAGACCAAGATCAAGTATGGCTGCAAGAAGGGCGGCTCTACCTACTCCTTCTTCATGTAGGATTGCTTTGTATTTTTTTTTAGTGAGTCCTATGATATCCCCTAGGAGGATTATATTTTTTTGGGAGGTGGGTGGGTCCTATGATATCCTTGATTAATTTAGTACTTATTCATGTAGGAGCTATCAATGGATTCTTCTCTGGGAGGTCCTACGATGTTTATGTATCAATAGTTTCCTTCGTGTAGGGATCCTATGATGTCCATGGGTCCTTACACTCCTTTTTTCAGGTATTTCAGTATGTTTCCATGTCCTTTTATCCTTCTAGACCCTTATGTTCCTTCTTCAGGCACTGTAGGATGTCCCTTAGATCCTTCAACCCCCTTCTTCAGGTGTATGGGCAGGTATGTTGCTAAGCCTGAAGGAGTTACATTTTTATCAGGTGTGTAAACAGACACATATGTAGCATCTATGGACAAGTGTATCGTCACCTGAAGATAATGACCCACTGACAGGTGTGTGACAGGTGTGTAGACCAAGGAACTCTCAGACATTCGTAAGTATAGTCAGGGGTTAATTTGGACGCCATTTTGATTGTCGTTTCTATGTCGTATCTTAAGACAGTTTGTAAAATGACGTTAGGGGCGTTTGTAAATGAAGTTAGAGTCCTTTGTAAATGCATCTCAGAGTTAGAGATTGAAATAAGTAGCACAAAGTTAACCCCTTGAGAGAGTCTAACGGTAAGAGGTGCTTGAGGGTGTGTGTGTGTGTGTGTGTGTCCAACAGGCAGGACCTTCTTATAAACAAACCCCCAGCGGCGTCTCTGAGCCATCACCGCCTGGTACACCTTCTGCGTCACCACCACCACCGTCAGCACCACCACCACCACCGTCAGCACCACCACCACCACCGTCAGCACCACCACCGTCAGCGTTTACCTCAGTTCTTTTTTCTTCTTTACTATTAATTTTCTTCTTGTTCTTGTTTTTGTTCTAGTTGTTCTTGTTCTTCTTCTTCTTGTTCTTGTACATCTTGTTCTTCTTGTTCTTCTTATTATTATTATTCCTTCTCTATCTTCTCGTGTCATTTTATTAAATTTAATAACAATAATAATAAGAAGAAGAAGAACCCTCCCTCTCTCTTTAATCTCCTTCCTTCCTTCCTTAATCCTCTCTTATTCCCTATCCTCTTTCTTCTCCTCCTCTCTCTCTCTTTATTCTCCCTTCCTTCCTTCCTTCCTTAATCCTCTCTTATTCCCTATCCTCTTTCTTCTCCTCCTCCCTCTCTCTTGAATCTCCCTTCCTTCCTTCCTTAATCCTCTCTCTTATTCCCTACTCTCTTTCTTCTCCTCCTTCCTCTCTCTTTACCCCTTACCTCCCCTCCCCTTCTTCCTCCTCCGACTCTTCTCTAACTGTACCTACACCCCTGGGGCCTCTCACTGCCACATCTACCCTCCTCCTCCCGGAAGTAATAAAATAATAATAATAATAATAATAATAATAATCATCATCACTGTTATTATTATTATTTTTATTATTATTATTGTTATTATCTGTATGTTAGTGTTAGATAAAAAATGTTAAACAAGATTAGGGAGAGTGTGAGTGAAGGGGGGGGGGGGAGCCTTGACGGGTGAGAGGTAATCTACGTGGCTGACAGACACAACAAGGCGTTCTTTTAAATGACCTTCTTTTTTTTCTCTCTTCAAATAACACCTTATCAACCTCTAACCAAACCAAACCTCAGTAAACCACACCTTTTCACCTCACTTAACCACACCTTTTCACCTCACCTACAGGGACAGCACCATACCGACCTATCAGAGGATGTGGTCAGCTATGGTTAACGCTCGCCCTACGGTGTTCACGGAGAGTAACGACGATGGTGTTGAAAGAGTGGCTAAGGCTGATGGTCAATACGCCTTCCTCATGGAGTCGGTGTCCATTGAGTATGTGGTGGAGAGGAAGTGTGAACTGACCCAAGTTGGAAGTTTACTGGATTCTAAGAGCTATGGTATCGCCTTGCCTCCTGGTGAGTGTGTGTTAAGTGTGTCAATATTATATAAGATACAGTACATTTATCTTCTTTCTATCTCTCTCATATGTATGTTATTAAAGCCATATATTAATCCTTCCATCTTACAGGTTCGCCATACACGGGTGCCATCAGCTCGGCCGTGTTAATGCTCAAAGAAAACGGGAAATTACACATATTGAAAAACAAGTGGTGGAAACAGCGTAAAGGAGGAGGGCATTGTCAGGTAAGTCTAATCAAATGAGTTATAGGAAAAACTTAACTGAACCAAAGATGGGTAAAATATAACCAAATATAACCAGAAGAAAATATTTGGATAAGTTATAGGTCAATTATAATCATAAAAGAAAACGAATGACAGAAAACGAAAAATTTTAAGGGATAACTTCGGTAAACTGTTGTAGCATGGCAGATTGTCGAGGGTTCCTAAATTCTTTCGTTTAATGTCCTGTGTAAATTGTATTTTACTTATTTTGAGTTTGTGTTAGGACTCCCTTTATAGTGGATAAGGATGGGTAGTGTTCTGATTGAGTCTGTAGTGTCTAGTCAACCAAAATATTAATTGATATATGACTCTTTTCTGTCTTGATTCTGGTTGATTTGTTAGTATGAGGCTTTTATGTTAAGAGAGAGAGAGAGAGAGAGAGAGAGAGAGAGAGAGAGAGAGAGAGAGAGAGTTAGTTCCACACCTGTATCATCATTCTACCTCACCATCATTACATTTCATCCTCCACCCCCCAAAAAAAAAAATCTTTAGTCTACCTCGCGTCTACTTCTACCTCCTGTGTGTGACATAATGAGTTTCGTAGATAATTTCTGACACTTTAGATCTAGAAAAAAAAAAGTAGATTCTCGGTAGATGGTAGAAACTTTACTCGTAGCGATTTGGGAATGACTTTTACGATTGAAAACTAACTCATACGTAGATCGACTTTTATTTGTGAAGGCGTAGAATTCAAGTGGCGTATTGGCGTAGATTTAGTGAGGGTGATAACTACTCTTACTACTGCTATGATGATGTCTCTTCTGTGATGTGAGGGGAAGACCTGCTAGAGGACTCACGCCGGGGATGAAGGCGAAGAAGATGCCAATGAAGAAGAAGAAGAAGAAGAGGAGGAGACGACACGACACTCAAGAGAATCCCAAGACGGAAATCGATCACGCCCGTCGTCCTCTCATGGGGGAACAATGATAAACAAAACCTGGCCCCGTTGTTCTCCTGAATCTGGGGGATGTCTTAGTCTCTCTGTCTCTCCCTCTCTCTCTCTCTTCCCCTTTCTCTCTCTCTCTCTCTCCCTTTCTCACTAACTATCTCTCTCTCTCTTCCCCTTTCTCA